GGCCAGGTGAAAAAGTTTGATTTTGGACTACAATTATTTCAACCACTGGGTGTCTTACATACTGCATCTTTAATAAATAACTTTCTACTCAGAACATTGATATGAAATGCAATTAATGGTTTTTGGAGGCGTAAGACCACTCTTTGGGAGTGCAGACTCTCAACACATTTGTGGATGTATTAATACCAAACTATTTTGATGAGTGACTTTAGCTAAGTGGTTTTAGAATGACCAGAAGAACATTTGATATGTTGTGCAGTCTAGTCGGTCTGCTGATTTGCCCATTAATTCTATCCCATCACATGACCTGTTAAAAACAAAATCTCGTGACTTTTTTTTTTGGATGTGCATGCTGAAATTTATTTGGTAAATGGGTTCACATTTTTTCAAATTTTCCCCAAAGGCACATAATAATTGGGGTATGGAAACAGTTACTTTTGTGAGCAGTTGTAGAAATTGCATCTACATTCCCTTAGGTTGCATGTACTCTCTTTTGTCTGTCCATTGACAGATTTATCTAGGGCATTTGTCCAACGTAGGTTCACCTTAGGGTCAGTGTACTCAGTGTACATAACACTCATCGAGACACAAACCGATCACTAATTCACTGTAGTTTGCGGCGTCCAGTCCCATCTGCGTCAGTGCAAACTATTCATCGTTCAGTCTGGGCTTTGATGAAGTGATGACTACCCGCTCCTGACGCAGTAAACATTACCAAATTTGATGAATCGATGCTTTTAGATTGGACATTTCCTGTAAATGCCAATCATGATTTATGGAGCCTGGTAAAAAAAAACAGCAACTTTCAGCTGGGTTTCTGCTAGTGTCATTTCGTGACGGGCAAATCAGTGACAAATGTGTGTAATGTTGAGTTGACGTGAGCTCTCACAGGGACTGACTGCTTTCTAACCAGATAACTCCCAGATGTCGTTCACATTTATGAAAACCAATCTCACTGTGCCTCTTTGTGCTGGAGTGCTGCTGGAGATCAGCGCCGTGTAGCTGAAGGACTCAGTGGTTTCAGTGTTCAGATCGTTACTGAACATCAGTGATGTGCATCTCAGATGGTTTGAGCTCCTGAAATAATAAATCATATGGTTCATAGAGTTTTAATATCTTCAAACTCTCATAGACTGACAATGCAGCAGTTTTAAAATGACATGCAACAAATATATAATTTACAGTTAACTCAATCCATTATGAAATGTGATGGGGAACATTTGATGCTGCTGTTGTAAAAAAAATGATGAAGAAGAGAAGAGAACCCAGTCCAGGAGACTTGAAAAAGCAGAAGAATTTCTTTATTAAGACGTGTTGGTTAATCTGCAGTCGTACAGCGTCTTCAAGAAGTCCATGTGTCTGCAAGAGCCTACTGGAGGTCTGCAGTCTGCGAGTTTTATCACAAGTTTTTTTGTGATATTTTGACTATTTTAATTTTTAATAATTGAGACTAAAATGCCCCATATATAATGTTCTTAGGAGGACGGGGGATGGCTAAACAAAGTATGCAAATAAAGTTTTTGAGTTAGCATGATAACTGGCATACAGATGTTAAAAACCTGCCCAACTACTGACCACATCAGTTAATCAACAAAAGGTTTTTTTTTTAGGTTCACCCGAAGACAAAGACAGAGTTGTTAAAAGCCTGTCCGTAGCATTTGCATCACTTTGGCTCAGCCAGTTTGAAAGACAAAGCTGCGCTGTTAATAAAATGAAATAATCAAAAAACAAAGAATATAACTTTCAGCTATATGTAGATTATTGTTCATTTGAAATTTGATTAAATAAATTTAGATTTCCACACTGCTGCTAATTGTTGTTTAACTTACGTTTCAAATTAAACCACTAATAAAGTTGGCAATAACAGAATTGGCGTTTTTTCACCATTTGGTGCTAGACGTTTTTATTTGGCTCTTTAGTTTGATGCTAACCCTGAACCTCATGGACGTCTAAAACAGATTTGTATGTATTTTCATCAAATTGCTGTGTGTTTTTAAAGTATGAATGTGAAATTCCTTAAAATATTACAACAACAGATTTTTAAAAATATCTGCAATAGGTGGGTTAATCATTTAGTAGAAATTAAGGAGAATGATCGCTGACATGCCTCAACTCTTTCCTGAGATTCCCAGTGATTTCACTTGAAGCGAGTCACATCAGGCCCGTAGCCAGCCTGGTGAAAGGGGTGGTTCTTTTTTTTATAAAAAGTGTACATTTTTGCAATTATTGACCTCATTTTATGTTTAATTATGTTTGTATTTATTAGATTTATCACTTGTAAAAAAGTTTAATTGAACATTAATGGATAACAATAGTCTGATTAGTATTAAAATTAACTTTAATATGGGCCACCATTGGTGCTTCACACCTTTTATTGGTCTTCTGAACCACCCGAATCCCCCTGTACATGTTTTTTTTCTATCAGCGATTTAAATAAAGAACATAGGTGGAATTGGTGGAAAATGCCAACTCTGTTTTTGTCAACTATATTATTGGTTTAAAACGTTGAAATGTAAGTTAAAAAACAATTAGCAGCATGATCAAATGTTTCCCCATCAAATTTAAGCGTTTTACATTATTCTACGTTAATAATGGCTTGAGTTCACTGTAAATGATATGTGTTGCATGCAGGGGCATTTAACCAATTAGGAAGGTAAGCAGCCGCTTAGGGCCCCATGAAATCTGAGGACGCCCAAATAATTACCTAGAAGTGTAAATAATACCTATAAATTATATATAACATTGTTTTGTATCATATTTTGTACGATGGGGGTCTAAAACTTTTTATTTTAATGTAATTATTTAATCTGCGCAAATGTGTCCCCACCTTCAATCATGGGCCAGTCCAGCAGTCAAATCAGTCAAGATTTAGTTTTAGAAACAAAAGAGTTCATTTATTATGTTTAGTTGTGAATTCATCTTAAGAAAACAAATAATTTCGGTAACACTTTAAAATAAGGTTCATTAGTTAATGCATTTACTAACATGAACTAATTATGAACAACACATGTACAGCATTTATTAATCATAACTGAACATTTACTAATGCATTATTAACATTTAAGTCCATGCTTGTTAACAGTAGTTAATGCACCATGAGTTAACGAGCTAACAATGAACTACTGTATTTTCATTAACTAACATTAACTAACATGAACAAATACAGTAGTAGATGTATTGTTCATTGTTTGTTCATGTTAGTAAATGCTTTAATTTACATTAACTAATGAACCTTATTGTAAAGTGTGACCATAATTTCAAAAGTTTTACAAGGTGATTTACATTAAGTTAAAATGTAGTAAAGGAGATCGAATTATACAAGAAATAAAACAGTAAAATAATAATAATAAAAAAGTACAAAAGGTGCATTTTAGAACTTTTGGGCCTATTGACTGGAATTGTTTATGTGCCCAAAATCACTAAATCTACCCCTGGTTGCATGTCATTCCAAATAGCGTTGACAGAATGTTTCTCTGTTGTTCTGAAACTGCTGCATTGTCGGTCTATAAGTGTTTGAACATGCTAAAACTCTTTGAACGGTATTATTCATTATTGCAGGAGCTCAAACCATCTAAGATGTATGAAAATGATGTTCAGATAATGTTGAATCCTTTAGCTGGAAACAAAAAATATTTTTTGAAGTAGCTGAATATAAAAAATCTAGAGGTTAAAGACTAACCCTGACTAGATGGAGCGATTTTATATATACAGTTGATGTCAGAGTTATAAGCCCCCTTTTGATTATTTTTTTCTTTCTTAAATATTTTACAAATATTGTTTAACAAAGCAAGGAAATTTTCACAGTATGTCTGATATTATTTTTTCTTCTGGAGAAACTCTTATGTTTTATTTCGGCTAGAATAAAATAAGTTTTTCATTTTTTTAAATTATAGTTATTAATATAACCTTTATTTTAACAGGAAAGACACATTGAGAACAAACAAAAAAACAATTAACATGAATCACACATTTACAAACAAACTATTCAAAACATCAACAAACCTGTTTCAATTTTTAAATCGTTTATACTTTTTCTATTTTATTTATTTATTATTCTTTTTTTAAAGCATTACAACATTACTATAACTTTGTTTATAGATTATTCAAAGCAAAAGGTGATGCATATTTAAATGATTTTTCCCCATCTTAGTTCGCTCTTTAGGAACAGACAGTAAATAAATATCCTATGACCAAAGGCAGAATTTACAAATGTAGTTCTGGAGATATGATCTGAGTAAACCCAGTATAGATTTGTAAACAAAGATATGCCAATGCTTGAGCCTATGAATGGACAAAGCAGACCAACCTACCCTAGTATACAACACAAAATGATGAGTAAGAGATTTAAAATGGTTTAAAAGTGCACTATGCTAAAAAATATCCAATGCATGCAGACTCTGAGATGAAGCATGCATATAGATAACATCATCGTAGTCCAATATCAATATAAAAGTTGCATCAACCAGCGTCTTTTTAGCATAAAAAGAAAGGCAGTTCTTAATTCTTAAATAGAAGATTAAAATCCCTTTTAATGTTTTCACCAACTGCTGAATGTGAAAAATAAAAGAAAGTATATAATCATTTAAAATTCCAAGATATTTTTACTGTATAACTTGCATATTGTAATTATATAACAATACAATAACTTGCCTAATTACCCTACCCTAACCCTACCCATTATTTACTGTCATCATGACAAAGATAAAAGAAATCAGTTATTAGAAATGAGTTATTAAAACTATTATGTTGAGAAATGTTTAAAAATGATTCTCTCCATTAAACTGAAATTGGGGGAAACGTAATGAACCGAGTAAACCAAATGTGAGAAAAAGAGATAAAACTGACAGAGGACAGGAGAAAGAGCATGACTGCTGTGTGTGTGTGTGTGTGTGTGTGTGTATCCTTGCATAGAGAGGTGGGGGTGTCAAATGGGAGGAGAGAAAGGAGAAAAAAAGAGAGGAGGGGAAAGAGAGCATGAAAGTGAGGTGTCTTGATCAGTAGTGCACATCTCCACCAGCCCTGTCCTGCTGTCCACCATCACAGACAGGTAAGAGTGAGCTCTTCTCTAGCGTTTGTGTGCGAGTGTCTCTCATGCCGGCTGCTGTGGCAAAGGTTAAGACAAGGGTTGCTTTTCTGCTTCTCCCCTTTTCTGCTGTGCCTCTATATACCACAAGCTTCCCACATTGCTCTTCAGCAGGTTTGACGTCTCTTTGAGGAACAGTGCTGCAGTGCTTAAGTGTTTTAACACATGTGCTTCTCTTAACAGTTATTTAACCATTTTCCCTGTCTTCTCATTCATTTCTTGCTCTGTCTTAGTCTGCCGGTGTGGTTTCGCATTTGCATGCGACTGAGCCGCATCATTTCTGACCTCTTTCTGCAGTACACGAGCGCTGTGGCTTCATAATTGCTCTCCCTGTAAGTTTAAGCTTAAGTGGCAAAAAAGCCGCAAGCTCTTTTCTTTGGCTCTTTTCCGTCTCCCCTGGTTTTATTGTGTCTCGTTCGTGCTGGGAGCAGGGGTTTGCTGTGTCTGTTGGATGTTTGAGAATATGTGAGTGTGTGGGGAGGGCAAACACAGGAAGGTTTGCTTTAGGTCGGTGTTCACTAGCATCTGCAACCACTGGCAAGTGCAGCGCTGCAGAAACCCATCCCAGCTCAGGACACTGTCAACTGATTTAATTTCATTTCGAGCCCCAGAGATAATGTGGAAAACGTGGGGTTTTTGCATTTGTACGCGTGCAAAATGTCAGCACAGATGGGAGATCAAAATATTTATAAAGTTTTAATAGTCAGCGGATGATTTTGGGGATTGCTGACTGTGCCGGATAGACAGGGCATTGTTTCTTCAAAGGTCTCACATGAACAAACACGTTTTTGTCGTTTTTGTTTTGAAAACAAGCTTTATTGAGTAGTTGTAGCACGTTTGATGTGATGTTTTCATTTTGTTGTTACTTTCACACACAAAATCTTCTAAACTGCCTGTTTACCTTTTCTGGTGGATGCCACATCTGCTTTTCACACTTTCAGAAGCCTTTTCAGTCCTGTTTACTCATCAGCGAGAAAAAGTTAAACGTCTGTGATTGGCAATAAGTGGAAATGGCTTTCAAACAATGACGCCAGAAATCAAGAATCTCAAACTGTTTCCAGACCTGTTGACAGGTTATCTAACTTTCCAGATGAAGAGATTTTATGAAATGTATTTGCAAAATGTACACTGAACAAATAACTGCAAACAATTGTTGAAATGTTCAACCTAATTTGCTTACAGCCACTTTTTAACTTAAAAAGATTTAGTAAATCCAAGAAATCATTTTTGAATATTTTTTTTACAGTGTAGATATTCTTAGTTTTCATGTTGTGCATGGGGAAAAAAACATAAGAGAACATGATGTCAGAGACTACAAGGAAAAAAATGAGGTTTGCAAAATAGATGCAAACAATTTATGTGTTGAATTTAAATAAATTACATTTAGTAATGTTCAACTTAATTTGTTTTATTTAAATTCAGCACAAATAAATTGTTTTCAACCACTTAACTTAAAAAAGTTGTAAATCCAAGGAATCGTCTTTAAATTATTATTTTTTTCAGTGTACCCTTGCAGAGCCCTGAGACTCATTATGTCTCTTATAACAAACAAAGGTAATTTGATGTTATGATAAGAAAAGATTTTAGGCAGGTGCCAAATGTCATGTGGTGTAAAAAACTAATAGTGAAAAGAAATTATAAATAATATTATGAATTAAAATGTACACTCATGGATTTAACTTGGTTAAACCACATGACATTTACCTTAAAGGGCTAGCTATCTCTTACTGAACAACCATTTGTTCCAAAAACAATTGAGTTACTTATAATGAACAGAAGTAATATTTTGAAGAAAGCTGAAGAACAGTAGCCGTTGACTTTCATAGTATTTCTTTCTTACTATGGATGTAAGTGGCTACCAGTTTTCAGTATTCTTCAAAATATCTTAATTTTGAGTTCAATGGAATGAACCACGTGAGGCAGAGTAAATGGTAAGTACATTTACATTTTTGGGTGAACTGTCCCTTAAAGGCTAAAAGTGTGTGGTTTGTACAAAAAAAGTCCATAGTATAAAATCAAAGAACAAACTGATGTGACAATTTCAAACTAAATCTGTTTTGTAAATCAGTTTCATGTGGTCAAAACAGCTGGCCAAAATGATCTTTGTGGGAAAGTTGGCTGGTAAACATTGAGGAACAACTGGTCTGTGGTGATTTTTCTAATAGGTGGGAGTGGCTCTGAGGCTTCACCTACTCTGAGGAAGAAATCTTCTTTCCCCATTTTCTCAATCCCTCAAGGTCAGAAGTCTGTGAGTAAAAGCATTCACACTGAAGAGATGCTTTAAATGACAGTAAATCAGTGTGGATTATAGTATAGTTATAAAAATAGCACTTATTTCATGATTAATATGGTAAAGCTGCTTGTGTTGAAGCAGCCTATTTCGCAAATGAGATTTGACAATGTAAGCGAGTTTCCGTAATGTTTTACAAATCAGCTTTAAAAAATTACCAAGATGAAGAGTTTAGATGGAAAAACCTCTAAATGGCGTCTGAATTTCTCTTCTAAAATTAGAATTTTTATCAGGCTCCTGAATGTAGGTTCAGTACTATCACTTTTATGGCAAAGAATAATTCCCTTCCATGGTCTTTGATGGGAAATAACTCAACATAAACAAATTTTCAATGGAAATTTCAGACAGCACTTGAACTTTTCATATATTAACAAACTCCTTTATAAAAGCCTTCATAAAAAAGGGACTTTTTTTTTGACATTTGTTGCAATTGAAATTTTTAGATCCAAATATATTCATTCATTAATTTTCCTTCGGCCTAGTCCCTTATTTATCAGGGGACACCACAGCAGAATGAACCACCAACTATTCTTGCATATGATTTACGCAGCGGATGCCCTTCCAACTGCAACCCAGTACTGGGAAACACCCATGCACTCTTGCATTCACACACTATGGCCAATTTAGTTAATCTAATTTACCTATACCGCATGTTTTTGGACTGTGGGGGAAACCGGAGCACCCAGAGGAAACCCAAGCGAACACAGGGAGAACATCCAAACTACACACAGAAATGCCAACAGGCCCAGCTAGGACTTCAACCAGTGACCTTCTTGCTGTGAGGCGACAGTGCTCACCACCGAGCCATCCCATGTGAACATATATAATGTAATAAACTCTTAAGAAAGGTGGTCTCCTTTGCATATTAGTGATAGGCACAAACACTTGAGCAGATTTCTCAAGTCATAAATCATATGCTTTTTGCTCACAAGTAGCTCTCAATTGTGCACTTTTCTAGCAACGTAGCTTCACAAATTGCCAGGGCTAATTTCTAATCGCACACCGTTTGCTTCAAAGGGAAAAAAAATCTAGTTGGAAAAGTCTCCATGTGTGAAAGTTCAGCAACACTTCAGATTTTCCAAAAGATGCCGAAACCCGATCTGTCAAACATTGCAGAAAGAGACTGTGAGTTCTGCAGGAAAAAGAAAGGAAACCGCAAAGGAGTGCACGCTCAGTCCTCGCTCGTAAGATTTTATCCATGTCCCATTGAACTTGCGGTCTAGCCGGCTTTAAAACAAGAAGCGCTGAGCTGCTCTCTCACTCAGGAACTGTGCCCATTAGACATGAGGTCATTTCTGGTGACTCAAGACCTCTCTGCTCATGGATCTTAATATATATCTGCTCATCACGAGCCACTGTTATAACCCAGTGCGCTGCTTTTCCTCAATAACACCAGAGTCGCCCTCTCAAATATATTTATATGAACTACCGGTCCAGCCTAAACCTACAATAATGGCTTCAAACTTTAACAGGCGAGCATAAAAATACCAGGACTCTGTGAGCCTGTGTCTTTGATCTGCAGGTCTGTCATCTGATCGTGGCTTGTTATAAACTACGGGGATGCAGCGGACGGGGCAACAGTCTGAGCCTGCGGTGATGAACTCCTGGCCCGTGTCACTTTGTCTCTTTATTAAAAGACAGTGGCAGACAGCAAGATCCCAGTATTTCATGCAGTCATGGTTTAAACCTTCAGCCTGCACGTCTAAGCCGGTCTTGCGTAATGTACTCCACACAATCGCAGGCATGAAAATAACTCAGTCACACAACCCTTGCTGTCGTGTTATTTTAATTTAGTTGGGAATAAACTGCAAGCCTAGGGTTGTTGCAATAAGAATGGATTGGCTGGGATGTGACTGGGTATATCTGTGCTGCGGTGATGTTGAGTTCATCACACATGCCTTTAACAGCTGTTAATTGTGGTTTATTTAAAGCATGAAGTAAGTCGAAGGTTTTGTGAAAGTGACTTGCTGCCTTGCTTTAAAAGGGTGGTTCAAACTGAAATGTACTCGCCCTCTTGTTGCCCCCAAATAAATCAAAACGGCAGACTGACCGACATACAACATACTCATATAAGGAAGATGAATGGAGAACAGGGCTCAAAAAAGAGGCATAAAACTTATGCATGTCCATGAAGTGCCTAAATTATTCTCATTGACAGGTTCGTTATTCTCATTTGGTAGTCTGCTACAATACATTTGCATGAAAAAATAAAAGCTGATGGTGGCCATAGCAAAGGGAAACGGCAGAGAATCGTGAGTGTAGAAACACATTTAAATCGCTAAAGGAAGAAGCACGCGTCACGCTTTCAACATGGTTTTTGGATACATGAATAGCCCCATACAGATGAGAGAAACAGTACAGTCATTGATCAATAAAAGTGATTACAAGCTGTGTAGAACGGTTACAACTTACAACACACAATTAAATACATATTTTGCAAACTACAGAGAATGAGGCAACAATTCTTATTATACTTACATTTTATGATCTGGAAGAAGAAGAAACTGGTCCATATGAACTGTAACAGTTACTGACAAAGTTACTGTCGAAGTCTAACAAAGTCCAATTAATTATAGTCTCTGCTGCTCCTTCCTTTAAAAGCAAATAGTCGACGAATCCCACCTTGCAGGATAGGTTATTGTATCAATCATCAGAACAATGACAGAAACAACCACAGAACTAGGTTGGCTGTACTGTGGTATTGTTGTGAAAATGAACTGTAACTGTTTATTTCTCACAACCAAATCTCCATCTTTCAGTGATCGTCATCTTCGTGTCATGATCAGTCCCTTGTTCTCCTACTAGCGCTAGTGTCTGAAGGGAAAGGCGTGTTCACATTTTACCGGAACCAGCATTTCATATTTGGTGATGTACCGTATTGACATCGATAAGTTCAGGCAAATCCAAACGCAACATGATTCATTTATTTGACTCTTGAGTCGACTGTTTCATTAAAGAATCAATAGTTTTAAACACAGTGCACTTTCAGATTTAACCCTCAGCTGTATGTTTTCATTCACTTAGTGCTGTGATACACACTACATGAAAGCTCATTTTTTTAATAACCCATAATAGGTGCTCTTTAAGATTGATGCAGCTTCTCTTTCACACTAAAACATGCATTTTAGCTGTTCATTATTACAGTAAAGATTCTGGGGTCTAAGAATGCAAATGTTTGGGTCACAAAGTGCAAGCTATTGCTATTTTTACCATGTAAACTAAAAAAAATTTATTAAAACAATTCCACCCTGGGTGTCAAGGTGGCTCAATGGTTAGCACTGTCACCTCACAGCAAGAAGGTTGCTGGATTGAGTCCCGGCTGGGCCAGTTGTCATTTCTGTATGGAGTTAGCTAGTTTTCCCTCTGTTCACATGTGTTTCCATTGAGTGCTCCAGTTTCCCCCACAATCTAAAGACATGCGACAAAGACATAAAAGTGTATGGGTGTTTCCCTGGGTCTGGGGACTGGGTTGCAACTGGAAGCGAATCTGCTGCGTAAAACATATGCTGGAATAGTTGGTAGTTCATTGCGCTGTGTACTTATTGGTCAGCTTTTGTGATGAATCAACTGCATAGGCCCAAAATATACACTGATATGCACACTATTGGATGTGCAAAGTTGAACACACAGCCTTTCAAACTATTCTTCATTTTGCTCTCTACACGGGCAATGGATTCGTAAATTGTGTCAGCTTGAAACACCTCAACTGGCCTACAGGGTTTCATTCTTGAGCCCTCTTTTGTTATGAGTTATAACTCTAATAAATACCTTTGTATTCTTTCATGTTTAAGCTGCACAAATAGGGTACTGTCTGACATATTTGCACTATCTGTTGTTTTTGTAAGCATCCATTGTCACTCTAGTTTGACTACTAGACTTTGTGAAGTTTTTTTGCCTACCTCGTAAATCAATGCCCTTACACACGGCAGCCACATTGTGCATATACTAACTGGGGCATTGGCACTGGCTTTATGCACACTGTGTGCTGACCACCATTTTTTTCTTTAGTTTTTTAGCTTGTGCTAAACACAATGTTCCTTGATTAAGTTTTGGTTTGTGTAACCTCACAAGTAATCAATATTATTCCAAAAGCATGTAGATTTTTAAAGTACATACAATATTTTGCCTTAGCCGAACAAAACATAGTCTAGATGATGGTGAAATCACTTAGTTTTGTTTGAGGGAAGGCCAAAGCACCCATTAAAAGTGCATTGTAGGCAATATTCACAGAGAAGTCAAGAAAATGATGTCAAGACTATAAACAAGGTGTTTATGGCAAGTTTTAGCCATTTGAAGTTTCATTCCCTTTGGCGTTGACTGATTGTTTGCGTGAAAAAAAAAACATGTTTTATTACACACTGAAACCGCCAAAACAGTCAAATATGTGACCTTTTGATCGTAGCATGTCAAAAACATGCCTAACAAGGTTTAACGTCAATGACACTCAGTGTCTTAAGGCTGATTTATACTTCTGCATCAAGAACACGCGTATGCTACGGCACAGCCTACGTGTTGACGCAAAGCCCTACACCGTGGCCGTCGATGTCACTGACGTGCACCTCTCAAAAAATTTAACTACACGTCGCAATGACTCATAGCACAAGCTCTCTGATTGGTCAGCTTGGTAGCGCTGACGAGTCTGGGAGGGACCGAGAGCTGCGTGAGGCCGATTGTTTACAAGTGTGGAGTCCCGTGAAGGAGCTCCGGATGGAAAGTTTTGTTTTGTGTTTACCTCATAGTTAATGTTGTTGCACATCCGCCGGTTCCTGCCTCAGAATGAGCGTGTTTGAGCCACTTGTACATTCAGGAAGTGTTCAGGAAAAGCAAAACATCAGTGAAGAAACTCGACACAGAGGAACATTAACACCTCACTGCCAACTAGCGTTTCGTGTTGATGTAGACCAACAGAAACAGCGCGCAGAAGTATAAATGCACAGCTAATTGCATTGCATCCGCCATGGGTTACGCCGGTCAATTGACGCAGAAGTATAATCCAGGCTTTACTGGCTTACACCTTGTAAGATGATACTCAGTGCTAATGCTAATAAAAAATTCCAGCTACAGCAAAAGGGATAATAATAATAATTCCTTACATTTATATAGCACTTTTCTAGACACTCAAAGCGCTATACACATTCGGGGATTCTCCTTATCCACCACCAGTGACCAGCATCCACCTGGATGACACGACAGCTGCTATATTGCACCAGACCACACACCAGCTGATTGGTGAAGAGGAGACAGAGTGTGATGAGGGCAGTTACTATGGGGATGGTTAGGAGGCCATGGTGGACAGAGACCAGTGGGGAAAATTTGATCAGGATGCCAGGGTTAAACCCCTACTCTTTTTCAAATGACATTCTGGGATTTGTTTTAGGGACCTCCATTTAACATTTTCCTAAAAGACTGTGCTCAGTGAGCAGTATAGAGTCCCCATCACTATACTGGGCAATAGGACCCACGTAGACCGCAGGTTAAAAGCTTCTTGTTGGCCTCAATAATACCACTTACAGCAGCAACCTAGCTTCCACATGTGGCCTCCCATCCAGGTACTGACCAGGCGCTGCCCTGCTTAGCTTCAGTGGGTGAACTTGAGAGTTGCAGAGAGCTAGCTGCCGGATAAATTTCAGTTTTTAACTTTCATTTCAGAATGTTTTGAAATACAGCCAGTCTGAACCTCTTTTACCATGGTACTGTATAATGCCTTTTTTTTTTATTTAGAAGTTTAAAGGAAGTCTTCCAAGTTTAAATTCAGTTGTGTTGTATGCAAAGGAGTGCTCAATAATATTTTTTTCCCCCCACAGAATGGAAATCATTCAGGTTTGGAGCAACAAGACTTGACTTTCAAGTACACTGTAAAGTAGAGGTGTCCAAACTTGAAGAAAACCCTACAACCTTTGGCCAAAAAGTGTAATGCTAATGCTGAGGCTATGGCAGAAAGAAAGCAAAGGCCATGATATGAATGGTTTATTTTATAACGGGATCCACAAAAATGCTGTATTAGGCATGCCAGGCCAATAGGTGGCAATGCCACTTTGTAAAGTCATACTATACACCAGTGCTCATACGAGACACCTTGTCAAGGTTTTCATACTCACTGGAAACAACTGAGCCCCAGCTCACATATTATCCATCATAAATAGTTTTTGAAAAAAGAATTAGTGTGTCCCAAGTTGTAGTATGTTGAAATAAGTATTCCAAAGTTACCTGATGCTCTACAAGTACTAGAAATTCAGAGTGCAGATCCTTGAAAAGTTTAATATCTAGAATATTCGCAACACATTTCATCACCAGTTACTCAATCTCAAGGGGTTCTTTGGAATTTCTATCTCCTGTCAAACACAAAACAAGATATTCTGAAGAATCTTGGGAAAGAAACAGCCATTAACCTTCAGGAGAAGTTAATTATGACAGGTTATTATAATTATTTTGTTTTTGGTTGAATCTCCAATTTAGTAAGGATGGTAATCAAATATTCAAAAGAAGTGTGGTGTATTTGACAGGATGATTGACTGGAGACACAAGTAGCCAACTGAATTCTGAAATAATGATAATCAGATTCAGAATGAGCTTTAATTGACAGGTTTGTGTATAATGAGGAAGTAGTATGTCCTAAAGCTGGGGTTCCCAAACTCAGTCCTGGAGGGCCGGTGTCTTGCAACGTTTTGTTCCAACCCCAATCAGACGCAGCTGAGCTAGCTAATCAAGCTCTTACTAGGCTTTCTAGAAACATCCTAACAGGTGTGTTGAGGCAAGTTGGAGCTAAAATCTGCAGGACACCAACCCTTTATGACTGACTTTAAGAACCCTTGTCCTAAAGTATGCCTATACTGTTGTGCTACACACTGAAAAGTGTACATCTTTCTGTGCAAAGAGTACATGCATGGGACAAGTAGGCGAATTAAGTGCAGAACTAGTGTTTTGGAGCTAAAATCTGAGGATGTTGGCAATCCAGAAGCAGGATAATGTTGCAATATCGGTTTGTGAGCGTCTTTGAATGCACTCTTATCCAGAGCCAGCTGTAAATGTCAGACCATTCCCTCAACATTACATGAGGATTAAAGTGTGAGAAACCAAAGTATTGTAATTTCCTCCTGCAATACATATATTTGCTGCAGGACTGGAACAGATTTATGATTAGGGCGATGTGTTTAAATACACTTTATCCTAATATTACAAATAAGAATGGGATCAAACAGCATTACCCCTGCTCTGTATTTAGCTAATGACTTTTTCTGCTCTTTTTTTTTTCTACCATGATGCAGATGATGTCATCAGAGATCTTGGTTCCCGGTTGGCTGCAGCAGCTGCTTGTTGTGCTGCTCAGATTTACCTTGTCATGCGCAGCCCTGGTGAACTCGACCAATGGGACGGAGTGCAGTGCTCGAGGACCTGCATCTTACATCGTGGTGTTCACCGGACACTGGAGTCCACAGACCTTCCCTAAACAGTATCCCTTATTCCGGCCACCTGCGCAGTGGTCCAAACTCATGGGTAAGACTTTTGCTAGCTTTGCCAGATGAAGTGTCTGGTTGACGTATGCTGGTATAGATGCCAACATCTCAATCTCTAAGGTTGGCTCCATGTGCCCTATGCTCTGTTAAGTATTAGGCTAGGGTTGGGTTTTGATTCAGAGGCCCTGATTCCATTCAATTTAATTAGATTTTTAATTCAATTTTCAATTTGATGAATACAGTTTTACAAACAGTAAATTAAAAAATACAGTATGAGAACCACAGACTTGATTTTAAAAACATTTACACATACTGTAGAGACAATCCCTAAATCATTCATACCCGGGGTATAAATAACTGCATGCCTGACTATATATATGGTGAGGTACCACTGGGGTATAATAATTTTTACAGCTTACAATTTTGTGTTTAATAGACGTCTAATAGACATCCAAACCTTGACAGCTTGGCTAAAACAAGGCTAAACTTGGGCTGTCAGTGAAAATCTAATAAACATCTAAGAAAAGCCCAAAACTAGACTAGTTGTCAAATAAACAGATTAGACAGACTTTATTTGTATAGTCATTCTTTTCTGTTTACTTGATGAGTAGTTTAGTTTTGACCTTTTCCAAAATGTCTATTAGATTTTCACTGACAGCCCAAGTTCAGCCTTGTTTTAGCTAACACGACTATGTTTAGATGTCTATTAGACATCTTTTAAACAAAAAAAGCTTGCTAGGTTTGGCCTTTACTGTACTAAACATTAAAAAACACCTCAGTAATTATGTAAAAATACATAGCCTACAAAACAGTGGTCAGATATTTTTCTTTGACAAAAACAGCTAAAAATTGTGCACATCAGAAAAGTCAGACACATTGTTTAAACAGGATCAGGTTATTTTATATTTTAAGAAATAATCTTGCGGATTTCCCACTATGGTTCCAAACCTTCTACGAAGAATCAGGTATGCATCCACGCAGGTACACAGACAAGATTACAACCGTTCTCTGACTGGAGGTTTAGGTACATATCTGGCCCTGTTGTATAACAGTATATAATATATGAATAACAGTATATATAATTGAATGAAATGGTTTAACAAACAAAGCCACCATAAGAAATCTGAAATGCTTCCATACCTCTGCTTTTTTTAAAGGTGTTGTTAATGTCAAGGCTTCACCACCTGCATTCACCATGTTAAACTCTTAATTGCAAAATCAACAACCCAGGCTCATTCTGAATACATACTGCTATATACATTTCTGGAGAGAGAAAAATACATCCCAGGAGTTATGTTTTTTGGCAGTGTTTTCGCAAATCCGCCAGAGGCTGCTGTGTATGTTTTTTGAGATCTAAAATTTTTCTTGCGAGTGCCATTTGCGTCTGCTGTTCTCACACAAATCCACCAGAGGCGGCTGTCAAGTGACTGACTGACTGATCGACTGACCCACCCACCCTCTTCTTTCCCCTAAACCCAACCAATAGTGTTTTTAAAAGCACAGATTGACCCGCGCCCTCCCACTTCCCTAAACCCAAGCGTAGTGTTTTGAAAAGCCCTCGCCTGATTCTTACCACGGTTGCAGATTTACCACATTCTTACCCTGTTATGTACTTGTTTATTTTATTTTTTGGCTTCTGTTTGAGTCTTGCCTGCTTTCCACAATCGTTCATCCCTGGACTCTAACACCATCGTTGTGGTCAACTCTGTATCTCAAGGCTGCCGGCGTATGTTTCGAGACGAAATGCAGCTATACGTAGCTCTGGCTAGATAACTTACGATGTCCAAAAACTTATATAGGGCTACATTTTCCGAATGACTTAAACATGTTGAAAATCCAGCAAGTTAAGTAAAAACAGGGCAACATATCAGAAAATTCGAATACATTTTAGATCCATGGTAATCAGAGACATTCAGTGAAATCAGAAATACAAAAATAAAAGATTCTCGGCTTTTGAGAATTTTCATTGAATTGAACAAATAAAATTGCCTTGCCCTAGATGAGGCTGTTCAGACTTACCCACCTCTCTATACATCAGGACACTAAATACTCAACATCTGGCCTGTTAACCCTGAGATGTGCCCCGATGACCCCTCAAACATATCCACACAGTACCTGGCACACCATGGTAGTGGGGCGGTCTAATGAGGAAAGCAGAACAAGAGGGAGTTTAAGAAGTAATAACCGTTGCCAGATGACATGGGCTGCCCTGCAGGTTCACCCTTTTCTTTTATACCCTCTCTATAAATATACAATGCACGCGGCCTGCAATTGCCATTGACTTTAATTGCGATGGCTCGCATATTCTGAGAATGAGCTCTCTGGGTGTCAACGGTATGCCAGTCGTCACATGCCATGGCACGCGAGCCAAGAGCAGCAGCAGCAGACGTGGACAGCTTCAGCCAAAACATTTACAACCTCGAGATCCTGAAAGTTCAGGCTGTGGCTTTGGAGCACTGAGATGATGTCTGTGCGGTTTCTGCTGCCTCCTGGATGGCTTTCCGGCCCTCGCTTTATCCATTTATCACTGTTGTATCGCAATTATGTTGAGAAACCACACATTTTTGTATCTAATCAAAAGGTTGTGCCGTACATATGAACTCCCTGGTTGAAGGATGAGAAAAGTTGGGGAAAGACGTACACGGAGAGATAAAAGCATGGGAGATGGTTGTGGTTTAGCTGATTGAGGTCAGGGCTCTTCAATTTTTCTGTCCACATTTGGGCCAGACATGCAGCTTGGAGAGACTAGACATGTCAGCATGCCAAACGTGCTCCCTGTCTTCCTGTCATTCTCACTTGTATCTTTTTCTCTCGTTCTCCTTCACTCTCGCTCTGGGCTAAAGGCCTGCCAGACCAAAATGGTTTGTAGCTATGAAGAAAACAGTGGGATGCTTAAGAGAGGCTGAAACCATTTCAGAACCATCATCATAGCTCTAAACCTCTGTTGAGAAATCAAGATCTAATCAGTGAATTTAAAACTAGGCACATTCACTGTTAGGAGTAGTAGTTAACCCATAAATAAAGATCCAGACTTGTGTTTACCCATATTTATGCTGTTCTGTGTTCTGTTACAAAGCTCCTTCCATACAGTGCCATTTTACAGTGTTCACATTTACAAAGCTAATGAGTGGAATTCCTTCAAAGCTCCCATTTATATAATGTATTACATAGCTTATTATGCATTATTAATGGTCATTTTGGTTTCGGAGGTCTCCAACAACAGTCTGATATGCATGCAAGGTCAAAAAACAATTTCATTGTCTTATAATATGCATTTATTTTTACCTAATTATGCCAACAACCCCCATATGATTTGTTTAGCAGTTAATTTATTCCCCTCCTTTGCGTGAAACTAATCTGCACTGATTGGTCCAATTACCGACTGTTGTGACTGGTCGACATGGTTCAGAGACAGAGACAGAGAGAAACACCCAGCACGCTTATGAAGTACTGATCACATGTTCTGTGTGTGATAATCATCTTCGTGTCATGATCAATCCCGTGATCTCCCTATCTAAGAAAAAAGGCTCTTTCACGTTTTGCTGGATCCAGTACTACATATTTGGTGATGTACCGCATCGATGTCAATGAGTTCAGGCACAATGTCCGAATCTAACACGATTCATTCAATTAGACTATTTCGTTACAGAATCAATAGTTTTAAACAATGCACTTTCAGATGTAAACCTCAGTGCTGTGTTACACACTACATGGAAGGTCATTTTCAATAACCCACAATAGGCGCTCTTTAAAATGTTTTAATTCTGTCATTAATTACTTACACTTGTGTCCTTCCAATCCCCTGAGACCTCAAGGTACAGAGACACTGAAAATGAACTAAATAATATTGTCAAAACATTCCATGAAACTTTGGTGTTTCAACTGTAATCATATGAATCTCCAAGAACACATTTGTGTGGCAAAATAAAACTGTAAAAACAGCTTGGTTTACCTTTGTCTTTGTTGTCGGCGTGTGCATTTTCTATTGGCACTTTGATACATGCTATTAGTGTCTGCAGCGTAACCCTGTAAGCATGTAACATGGGGTCATTTATTAATATGAAATAGATCAATTTGAACAAATAAAAACACAAGTTGTGGCTCACAATCCACAGATTTGTCTATTATGGTTGGAGCTGCTCCTTCTTTTGTCAGGAGTTTTTTTTAGAAGTTTTTAGCTGAATCCAGCACTGAACTGGGGTAGGTTCTGGAAGCTTTCCTTTGTCAAATGCCAGCTATATCTTTTTTATAATTCTCTGGAACGTAATCAAAATTAAACTGTAAGCAGTTCTGTCTTTGTGTCGTGTGATTTGGAAGCTCAAATACAGAAACAGAAGAAGCTCTGTGGAAAAGTAGCGTTTGGACGGCATGTATTTATTGTAGTCCCCAAACTTTGTCTGGAGGTCCGGTGCCCTGCAGGGATTAGCTCCAACTTGCCTCAACACACCTGCCTGGGTGTTTCGAATATACCTAGAAAGGCCTTGATTAGCTTGTTCAAGTGTGTTTGATTAGGGTTGGAGCTAAAATCTGAAGGACACCGGACCTCCAGGAACAAGTTTAGTGATCCCTGCTGTAAGCTTTGCTAAGCTAACATTGTAAAAGCCAATGTCTCCCTTTGCTTTAAACTTTGAACATATTTCATTCAGAGATGTTGTTTATGCTACATTGCACATGAACTAAAGTTTAAAATTTGACATCATAGTTAACAACTCCTTTAAGACTTAAGGCCTGTGCACATCGAGACATTTTTTGCTCATGTGTTCCGTCAATGTTTAACGCCTCATGACTATATAAAGGGCATCAACATGATTGTGCACACCAATGCGCAAAATGGCAGGCGAAAGCGTAATAAAAAAAAAAAAACACCTCATGCTCGTTTTTTTATTTGACGCGCTAAGTTAAAAGCTTCTCTGCCAATCGATTAACGATTAATATTATACGATTAACGCAAACGAAAAGCGTCCCGGTGTGTAGGAGCCTTTAAAGTAATATTTGCATGCTAGTCTGTGATTATACTTATTTATTCCTGTCCCACGTCACACTATGAATGCTTTTATTCTTTGTTCATATACAGTATAACCATTATGTCACTGCATCATAAATATATTTGGTTGTTGAGTGCAAAAAGCTGAAAATTTAATGCATGCTGAATGTCTCAATCTCAATGACAGTTCATTTAAGAAACTAAATTCAAACAAAAGTTACGTAAAACCTCAACATTGTCCCCTTGCTGTCTACTAATATTTAAAAAAAAATCTTCAATATATTACATAACAGTCATCTCTGAACTTTAGGTGCACACAAGTGACATAGTAGGTCTGGTTTTCCTCACTGAAAGTTTTGTTTTTAGGTGTTTATTCACTTGGCATTGGGACATCTGCATGGCTTTATTTTGAACAGCTCGAGATGTGTTGAGCACACACACAAGGTGGCAGAGCTGGTTTTTGTGTTTGGTGAAATCTGATGGGCAATAAAACTTCATGGAGTGCTGGGTAATGTTCAGCAGGCCTGAGAAGTCACGAGGCCTGAAAACATGAGCAGTTTCAATGTGTTTGTCACTCAGTCATTGGCTGTTTTTACTTGTGTGCAGTTGTAACCCATAATGAGCAGTACCGGCTGTGGCAGGAGGGGGCGCCGGCGAGCGATGGCATGAAGAGCTTCGCAGAGCAGGGGCTCACAGTGGATCTGGTGAAGGATGCGAAGGAGGCGAGGAAGAGGCGATCGGTGGGTTCCATGTACCGTACGGCTGGAATCCCGTCTGGCATCGGCCACAGTTCCACAGAGGTGCTTCTGACCCCCAGGAGTCCACTGGTGAGAAGACTACAGTCCCAACACCAAAAATTAATCTTAAATTGAGTTTGAATCACGCTCGTTCATTCAACTAAAAAGCCCCAAAAAATTGAGTCAGTGAGAGTTAGAGTTGGAACAGTTTGCAGTTGTGTGTGAAAGTGAGCTAGTAGGTAGTTAGTTTTCCTGTTTTATAATTTAGTTTTATAATTTAGTTTTCCTGTTTTATAATTTTTTCCAAAACATTTCCCGTCAATTATGATTGAATTATGATTACCCTTAGGCTAAAATAATTAAACAAGTCAAATTAAATCATATTACAGAAATGACAACAATGAGGGTTGGTCCTTGTAAGAATTTAAGCTAAATAAAATTAAACTACTACAAATACTTTGCAATATTGTACACATTTTAAATGGATAATATCATTGCAAGTGTGATGTTTAATGTTCCCGATAATCTCTTGTTAGCAGCCTCTAATTTCAGGACAAATACAGACTTAAAAAAACTATGTATTACTGAAGTGTTTTATGAGGTACAATAAAATATTGAGTGTCTTGTTAAACACAGACCTTAGTTCATGTGTTTAACCAAAAATCCATTAAAAAATAACAGGTTTAATTAGACTTAAAAGACAGCATGTAACCACTTGTGTAGTGTTACTTTTAATGTCAAATTTTAAAAATCAATTACACACTATATTTGAATGTCATATTTCGAAATTCACTGAAGTAATATTTAATTGTTCACAGTGGAAAGTGGACTAGTAGGTAGCTGGTTTTCCTGTTTAGTTCGTTCATTTTCTTGTCGGCTTAGTCCTTTTATTAATCCGGGGTCGCCACAGCGGAATAAACCGCCAACTTATCCAGCAAGTTTTCACGCAGCGGATGCCCTTCCAGCCGCAACCCATCTCTGGGAAACATCCACACACACACACACACACACACACACACACACACACACACACACACACACACACACACACTCATACACTACGGACAATTTAGCCTACCCAATTCACCTGCGGTACAGGCAGGCGCAACCCCTTGTTTTTCCTTTATGTCAAAAGGAAAAACAAGATTATTTTGCTTACCCCATTGGCAGATTATTTTGCTTGTTTTAAGAAAAACTCACTTAATTTTGGCATATTATTGCTGAAAACAAGGCAATATGTTTTGCTTGTGTAGAAAATTCTTCTTGATTTAAGAATTGTGAGATATTTGGACTCAAAACTAGACAAAAAATCTAAGTAAGAAAAGCATTTTTTGCAGTGTGGTGACTTTTTTTTTTTTTTTTACACCTTAAACCTACTCATATCACCAAACCTATCCCTAACCTGACCCTTATCTAGGCCCACACGGAATCTGCGCGTACAGAAATTTGCAGATTTTTAGCCCATCATTGAGTTTATTTATTTATTTGTGTATAAATGTGTGTAAATTTATATTCATTCAGTTTTTAAATTAATTTCAGTAATATTACTGACAAGTATGAAAACGGGGCGAAGCAGTGGCGCAGTAGGTAGTGCTGTCGCCTCACAGCAAGAAGGTTGCTGGGTCGCTGGTTCGAGCCTCGGCTCAGTTGGCGTTTCTGTGTGGAGTTTGCATGTTCTCCCTGTGTTCGAGTGGGTTTCCTCCGGGTGCTCCGGTTTCCCCCACAGTCCAAAGACATGCTGTAGAGTTGAATTGGGTAGGCTAAATTGTCCGTAGTGTGTGTGTGAATGTGTGTGGATGTTTCCCAGAGATGGGTTGCGGCTGGAAGGGCATCCGCTGCGTAAAAACTTGCTGGATAAGTTGGCGGTTCATTCCGCTGTGGTGACCTCGGATTAATAAAGAGACTAAGCTGACAAGAAAATGAATGAATGAATGAATGAAGTATGAAAACGTTCATATAATTTACTTACAATACAGGTAAAATACTAATTTCTGTCTTTTAGTAGGCATATGGTAGATATATTATATGAGAAACTTGCTTTGTTTTCCAAATAAATGGATCTAATTGGATTTGCTTTGTAAACATAAAATAAAAGTTACTTTTGTTTTATTACAATACTCTTAAAATCATTCTGCATAAATCCGCAGATTTTGACAATATTTTGCACAGAAATTACTTAAAGTGGCCTGACCCATATCCCATGTCAGTAGCAGCAGAAGTGTTGTGCAATACAGCCTGAATATAATAAGTAACTTCACTTGATGCCACTGGGCATGTATTAAACTTGTCCATCTTCATTCATTGAGTATATCTTGAAAGCTTCATGTTTTATAAAAACAGATTATCACCCGGAATTCTTTCACCCATGAGGATGACTTTCTCTCAGCAATTTGATATGAGAAAACAAAAGAAAGATCAAGTGTAAAATTATTGAAGTACTGTATGCGTAACCTGGGAGAATGCATGTTTCAGTTACAATGTTTTAACTCTCTATGGCTGCCTTCAGGCAACAAACCAGTTTTTTGGCCCACAAAACCCCCATTTAATTTTTTTTTATTAAAATAACACAATAGAAGTAAAAAAAATAAGTTGGTGAGCAATAAAATTTGAGGTAGGTGTGTGTTTGACCTGTCTTTCGGGAGCAAAACAGACCTTTTTGGGACAATAGCCTGCTTGAGCACACTACTAGCAGAACGTAAGATAGATATCACAAATATCCTTATATTAAAAATATGTGTGATGTGCATTAATCTGTGAAGAAGCATATTTGATTGAGAAAATACACATTTTGTTAATATCCATATAATAAAATGGTAGTTTTTTTCTTTGTTGCCTCGGGGCAACATTGTGCAGTTAGACCACTTTTGTAAAAACAATAACATCCTATGGATGGAAATGTGCAGAAATGTGCAGTTATTACCATAAAAATATATATATTTTTGCTTTGCTGTGAACTTTTACTCACAGGAAATGGATACTGAAACATTTTATGGAGGTAAAGAACAAGATTGAGCAGTTAGGCTCATTCCTTCCGACAGCGAGCTTGAAGAGTCACATTAGCTATGTTTCCATTCAAATATGCTAATTTAACTTGCAAAAAGCCACAGTTCTGCACAGTTTATCTATAACCCTGATTAAACAAACCTAATTAAACTTATTGAGTCCTTCACGCTTGTTTAAACCTACAGGCAAATGTGTTGAAGCAGGGTTGAAACTACACTCTACAAAAATTGAAATATGTTTTCCCCTTAAAACAAAAAGTCATGCCATAGAGGATTTAATAAACATTACACAGTCAGATATTTTAAAAAAGGACACATAAATTGCCCATAACAAGATCTATAACACATAGTTATAAAACAGGAAAAGGCATGCCCAACTTAATTACACAATATACTTGAGTACAGCATAAAGACAGACTTGACCAGAGCGCAGGTCTCTAAAACCCACATCCAGGACCTCCTGACCACAGCCCTCGCTCCCTCCCTTCCGGCTCCTGCGCTGCGTTTCCTGCACCCACTAGATCTGCAGATACGGAGAGGCTGGATCCTTTCCTTCTCCGTTTCTGGAATATTTATTTCCTGTTAGCCGTGAGTCAGCTGGTTATGGGGTCTGAAGGCAGCGCTGGGGCTGCTGGTGACCTACATACTGTATCTTTATAGCTGACGTCTGGAGTACAAAGAAGGCTTATTAAAAGTAGCAACTACCCTCAGATGCACTTGGCATTTGCTCCTGCTGGCATTTAACCACAGCATGGCGGGATGTGTGCTGTTTTTAGAGCGGCAGGGCAATGAGGTACGGCTGAGAGCATGAATGTGGCCTTAGGATGAGACACTGCGGTCTCTTCTAGATGTGTGTAAGCTGTCAGGGTCTGTTCATTTTATACTGATGAACTGAATGCTTACAGGATAGTATTAAATGTAAGTAAAATAAATTGGAGTTACTTCTGAGGGGTATTTGTGCCACAAATATCTATGACTTAAGACATAATGAAATCAATTGGAGTTTACTTTTTTCATGCATTAAATAGAAGGATAAGGAATGAATACGTAATAAAACCTGAATCAACATTGTTTTACTCATAGTTGCTTCTTTCTTACTCAGCAGATATAATAATAATAATAATGATAATAATAATAATAATAATAATAATAATAATAATAATAGTTCCTTATGTTTATATAGCATATTTCTGGACACTCAAAGCGCTATACACATTGGGGGAATCTCCCTATCCAACACCAGTGTGCAGCATCCACCTGGATGACACGGCGGCAGCTATATTGCACCAGTCCACACACCACACACCAGCCGATTGGTGGAGAGGAGACAGAGTGTGATGAGAGCAATTATGCTATGTGGATTGTCAGGAGGCCATGATGGACAGATTCCAGTAGGCAAACTTGGCCTGGATGCCAAGGGTTAAACCCCTACTCTTTTTCATTGGACATCCTGAGATTTTTAACCACCACAGAGTGTCCAGATCTCAGTTTAAGGTCTCATCCGAAGGACAATGATCACTGAGCAGTATAGAATCCCCATCAATATACTGAGGCGTTAGGACCCACACAGACTGCAGGTTGAGCACCCCCCTGCTGCCCTCACTAACACCGCTTCCAGTAGCAACCTAGCTTTCCCATGTGGTCTCCCATCCAGGTACTGACCAGGCACAACCCTGCGTAGCTTCAGTGGGCGACTATGTAAGAGTCGCAAAGAGCCAAGATGTGTCAGGATTGCAGTGCTTTGGTTGCATTTTATCCAAAAAGCATCTACGTTTACCAGTCATCATCTTTTAACGCTATCAATTCATTTATGATTAATTTTTTTTTTTTGGTTGAAAGTTATACAGTGTACTTGACTCATTACAGTGGGTACATTTTAAGCATGTTCTCTTCATTCTCCTTAAACTGGAATGGTATAGTATACAACAAATTTATTATTTACAATAAACTGAATCCATTATTCATGTCAGACAACCGAATTGACCGTAACAGAGTTGACATTTTCCACCAATTGGTGCTGTAGCTCAATATGCTATCCTCAAACAAGATACATGGCATGTCTCGAACAGAATTCTAGGTATTTTCATC